GCCGGTGGCCAGAAAAGGTGGCAGCGAGGAGAGAAGTGTCGCCGGGGGAAAGCCGTAAACGGCGCCGACGTCCTTCATGGAGAATCATTCACACCGACAACGGCCACCGGTTAAGAGAATGTGACATTTTCCGTGGTGCTTGGCAAGGCGGGTATTTATTTTAACGTTCTCCTGAAGTGGCTTTGATCTTTCAAGGACTCCGAGGGAGGATTAACGCTTATTTACAAAATATTCCTTACAGAAATAATCTAATCATGCGTTTCAAGGAGTAATGAATGAATGCGGCTGAGGACTCTGCGGCCCTGCTAAGTGCGCCACGTCGGGCCTGTACCACGTTACCGTGTTCAAACAGGACTGGATTATGCACAGGCTCTGAAATGGGAAACTAAACAACGGCATGGAGAGTCGACGCTGGGAAATGTCTGAATCGTATTAGGTTGTTAGTGTTTTACCTAATGAGAGGAGAGGATTCGAAAGAGAGAGAAACATGGGTCATCGGCCGCCTTCTGCACGCCCCCCACTGGGGATCGAGCCCACAGCCGGGGCACATGCCCTGGCCGGGAATCGAACCGGAGACCTCAGGGTGCACAGGCCCATGTTCAACCAACTGAGCCACACAGGCCGGGACCCAACTGTTTATATTCTGAGTTTTTCTCACTTATAATTATCCACCATGCAAGACCAAGGCTGATCTCCCATTCCTACGGTATTCTGTCGAACATGGTAGGTTATTAGGTGTTTGTTATAACCTAATGCCAACCACTTGCAAAGAGGGCAAAGACATGTCATACGGCACCAAACAAGTTAAAGAGCAGAACTGCGATGGCCTCATAAAATATTCATAAAGCAGATATTCTTTGTTCCAGCTGAGGAATCCGCCATGGGAAACACACCCCAGTTCCCGACATGCCTCTCAAGTTTGGGGGAACTCAGGAAGAAACCTAGAATTCCTGAGAAACTGGGACAAGTCATTTTTATTTTTGAAGGGAAGTGTCACCCAAATAAATTTCAACTTGTCAGATCCTGGGGACTTGCAGCAAAAAATGAATGCCCGACGATGTTATATACCATAGACCTTTTTACGCCCCCCCCCCCCAAAAAAAGTAGTTTCCAGTGACGGGGCAAATTTGTAGAAAGAAAAGACAGTAAATCAATGCCTAGGGGAAGAAAATGCAATAAAAGCGGGCTTTGTCGTAAGCATGTTGTTTCCTTTCATCTTATCTGTGCAGCAATAGGCCTCGGTTCTTTCCGCTCATTGCCCGTGTTCTCTGGAACGTTCCAGCCTGAAAATCACTCACCCACAGGCCAGAGGTAGCTCCGGCCCACTGCCCTGCGGCCTCCCCGCCCTGCGGCCTCCCCGCCCTCGGCCTCACCCTGAGCATAGGCTACACCTGTGGTTCTGACCCAGGGTGGGGGGCAAGCCCGCCCCCTAGTGGGCACCTTGGGTGCCACAGGGATGGGGTTGGTGCTACGCAGTTCACCGTTAGCTGGTCCAAGGCTAGCTGTAGTGAAGTAACTGCCTGTTCACACGTTTGTTTTCTGCATAAGCCGCTGACGTCACGGGCCCTGTATTATTATTCTTTGTTCCTCCAGCTCCTGGCTCAACAAGTGTTTGTTGAAAGAATGAATGAGTGAATGAATGAGAAATATGCGTGAGGAATGAGAAGGGCCGTGCATGTTTAATCACAGACAGCGCTGGATGGAACTGATGGATTTTTAAAAAAATTTTCTTAGTTAAATAAAAGAACGGAAAATCATGAATTCAAGATTTACAGGAGTCACAAACACGTGAATGGATAAGGAACCTTTTTTCCCCCCAATAACAGCTCAGATTTACTTACTCAGAGAATCACCGCATTTTTGACAGTTTCGGTGATTGATGAAAATGGCCAAGGAAATAACGGCCTTATGAAAATCAAAAGGCTCTCGAGTCCCCCCTCTTTAGGAAAATCTATTTTCTTAAACGAATATTAGAAGGTGCTTCCATGACCGGGGACAGAAACGCGCTCGGAATCTTGAAAGCAGCCCCTCCAAAGCCGACCCCCCTGGAAGCCCAGTTCTGCGGGGATGCTCTCATTTCCTTTGGAAACTCCAGCTGTCCCACAGCACGCAGTTAAATTAAGGGTGGGCGCCGTTAACTGGGAGGCAGCCGATAGAATATTTTTAAAAATGTGACCAGCATCCAATGATTTAATCAAATAGTTTGCTGATCGCTCAGTATGGCTGTAGCCTTTCCATCAGTCCCTCCGCTGACTCACTTCTCCCCTCCGCAGCCAGCCAGGCCCTTATTTGTCTTTGGAATGCTCCTCGGATCCCATTAAGGAGTGCTTTAGTCCAAGTTACCTGGATGATCAAGAAAAATTAAGCCCCTAATAACGGCAAAATTGTAAGAAATTTAGACAAAATGACTCTCCGCATCGCAGATTTTGTTTACTAGTGGGTAATTAATTCTCCACATATGTTGGGAACATCTGTTGCCGTGACCTGCCATCGGATCTGCGAAATGACTGCTGTGTGGTTTCCCCGCAGGTCATTAGCAGACTCTGAAAGGGGGTGCTTTCCTCCTGCCCTCAGCCCCGCAACTTTCTCTTCAGCTGGGAGCTTCTGCAGGTAAATTCCTCGGAGTGAGATGCGCTCCCCACATTTCCCTCTGTCACCGGCGAGCGTCTCTGGCCACCTCCTGTTCTCACCCCACTAGGGTGCAGGGGGAAATCTCTGTGTTGCCTACCGGGCCATCTCTCTCCACCTTCAAGCTGAGTGGGATCCAATAGAAATCTGGATGGTTTCTGACTTCCCTGGATAACCGGTGAGAAATTGGCCTCGGATTTCTAGGGTGGGATTGCCAAGAGGCCTTCTCTGGACAGAAAGTAAAGATGGCAAAGAAAGTCCGGGGCAGATATTACGAGATGGCATTCGTTGGTGGGTTTTGGGCAATCAAAGCAAAGGGGAGGGGAGGCTTGTGGAGAAGGGAGGCATTTGTCCCTCTCCCTAAGGCTCTTTCCAAGGCCTACCCTCCTCCCCGAGGCTATAGGGGCCCCCAGAAAGCCTAGAGAAGTAGAGATAAAAAATCGTAGATACAGAGGGACTGTTTCCCAGGAAGCCTGGGTGACGTTCTCCCAGAATGGACAAAGACTTACAACTTCTGGTTACATTATGGAGTTAGACGTATGTAAGTAATTTTTTAAAAAGGCACTTCCTAAGCATTTATCGTGGTGAAGGGCACAGGCGTTAGGGTCTCTCCTGGGTTGTATTCCTCATTCTGCCATCATCACGGGCAAGTACTTGACCTCGCGGAGACACAGTGCCCTCCTCTTGTAAAATAAGGACGCTAATAGTTTCCAGTCGCTAGGATTGCCATGAGGATCACACAGACAGTGCATGGAAAGCACATACCACAATTGCTCAATTGACTGTGCCAAAGAGGAACCTTTCTCCTGTGTTGGTTTTAAAAATTGTAGTAAACGCACACCTTACACAACAAGCGCTAGAGTGAGACAGTCCTGGTGACTGCATTGGGTCAAATAGGTGAGGACAACGGCTTCCTAATCGGAAGGATATCCTCTCTTTACTAAAAGGCAAGAAAAACGGATGTTTACATTGTGTGAATTCCTCCGGCGAGCTAGGCACTGGTGGGGAGCCTGCCAAGGAATGAAGGGCCTGCGGTCCTCTCCCTCCAGGACAGGCAGCCACCCCTCTGCTCCTCTGCATCCTGCCAGGACCAACCGAGCGTCGGTCACTCCCCAGCAAAGCTCGAGGACAAGGGAAGAGCTTGACCCAGGGCCGATGTGCCGACGCCGAGTTCAAGGAGGCCTGATGCTGAGAAATGGAAGAGGGGGAGACGGAGGGGTTGGGGAGAGACGGCTGGAAACACTGGGAACCCTCCACTTTCCAAGTGCCCATTACCAGAGCCCGGCGAAGTTCAACCACCTCGGTTTTGTTCAGGCTGAGAGCTGCCCTAACCAACCACCTTCCATCACAGAACCATCCAGAAGCCTCTATTAAACACATGCTTTCGAGTAAAAGAATAGCATTTTTTATGAAAGCGCGCTTGAAAAAAATAAAATAAAATTGACCAAAGCATAGCATTCTGGCTTACCTTGTAGAAATGGTCACCAAGCTGTCAACGGAGGTAAGTAGTGGTCAGGTATTACTTTCTGAATGAATAAACATTGCAGAAATGCCTCTTCAGAATAATCCAGGAGAAACGGTTATGACAGGCCGCATCGCAGGGCTCACGGTGAACTCGTCACGCCCAGAACTAATTTTCCTACCCTCTCCCGGGGGCGGGCTTGTCTGCCCCAATGAAGGGAGATTCTTTCCTTCTGGCCGTGCACCCTCGAGCCCTCTGATTCTGTCTATGATTTTCATAGACCCCTACAGAGCTCCTATCAGCTCTGTTTCACGATGTACCGACTCCTACTCTACTTCCTTGGTCTCAGCAAGGCCTCACCTCTTGCCTCCCAATGACCCTTCCAATGGCGAGCTCCCCTGCCCCCTACAATCTTTCATTAAACCAGCGGAGTTATCACTTTATTACGTGAATCAAAAGGTATCCTCTGTGAAAACCCTCTAGCGGCCCCCATTTCACTCAGCAAAAAGCCAAAGTCTTTCAACGGCTCCCAAGACTTGGCCTCAGCTGGCCAAGCTCGTCTTTACTGCTCTCCTCCCGGCCTCCTCTGGCTCCTTCTATCAAGTTTTTGTCCAAAGATAGGCTTCTTAGGAAGCCTGCGTTGCTCACCCAGCTTAATATGATGGCACGCAGCCCTTAACCCTAAGCCTGGCATCTTTCCACATCGCTTCTCACCTTCTGACACCGTCCTCCACCCCCCCTCCCCCAGAACGTAAATACATCTTTGGAGATGAAATTTTGCCTGTTTTGTCACTGGTGGATCTCTAGCATTTCAAAAAGCGCGCAGTAAATACGTAATAAATATTTGTCAAACTAACGAACGAACGAACGAATGAATGAATGAATGGAGTTGGACTTACCTCTGTGCTTCGTGTCGTTTTGAGACATGGAGCAGCAGTGACCACTTCGAAGGGTTGCTGTGGGAATTAAATGAGATGATACGTGTAAGGCACTCAGAATGTTCGTGGTGTGTAGTAAACATGGAAAAAAAACCACCAAACAATTTAGTTGTTCATGTTCCATGGGAAATATATTATTTAACCTTTACCTCAGTTCGTATGAGGCAGCCCCACTGAGTGGATGGAGAGACTGAGGCTCAGAGAAATGAAGAAATTTAACCGGGGTGATAGAGTTGGAGCTGGGGCGAGGGAGTGCTCTCAGCCTGCTGGAGCCTGAAGTTTAGTCACGTGGCAGGCCTTTAATCACCCCCCTCCTCCAGACCTATGCGTGTGGGTCTTTCATTAGCTCTCATAGACCTTTCTGTGTTATTTGGGGCCATCTCAGCTCTTAAAACGACACATCTGGGTCCTCATGTCTGCGTCCAGATCATTCTTCTCACTGTCGCTTGTCGGATCCGTTTCCACCTGACTGCGAAATCGCGGGTATGCTTTGGGGCCTGTCCTCGGACCCCTCCTCTCTCCCTTTAGTCTTCCCTCTGGACCCACTAACCCGTTTTCCTGAGGCCACAGCTCCTGCACGTGTATCTCCGGCCCAGGCCTCCCTTCCGAAGCCTGGGCCAAAGCGCGCTTCACCACTTAATTGCCTCCTCGCAAGCCCACGGGACTTTTCTCCCTGGCTCCGCAGAAGCACCATGTTAAACACAATTTAGAATTGTTTCCCTTCTAAGTTCACGCCTCCTATCGCTGTCTTAGTAAATGGCACGATTTCCTCTCTGGCCCTACAGGTCCCAGCGAGTGGAAAACAGTCCCTACTGCACGTCGGAACCCCGGAGGTCATTCTGACCCCGCCATCTCCCTCGAACTCATCGCTCACCAGGTGCTGCCCCAGTGGCTCTCAGATTCCCCCGCATTCCCACCCTCGCTCCCCCATATCCCCTCTGGTCCTCGCGAGCTCTACGTTCGGCTACCGCGGTCACTTCCTGCGTGACTTTTCCACTCTCCGGCCTTATTCCACTTCCACCTCGCCTCCCGCCTGCTCGTCTCAGGGGCTGCGGAGAGAGCACGTCGCTTCTCTGCGTAAATCTCACAGGCTTCCCGCTGACCTTGGCATAAAGTCCAGGCGATGCCTTTTGAAGTTTCCAGCTGAGCAGGCCAACCTCTGTCCCATTTCATTCCATCAAACACGAATCTAGGTGCTCCCGTGAAAGAATTTTTCAGATGTAATTAAAGTCCCTAATAAATTGAGTTTAAATTGATCAAAAAAGGGAGATTATCCTTGGGTGGGCCTGTCCTAATCAGGAGAGACCTTTCAAAGAGGGCTTAGGCCTTTCCTGAGTCCTGGGACTCCAAACGGCTCGTGCCTGTGGGGTTCCAGGCTGCCCCTAAACTTCTCTACCCGATGGCTCGCCCTGGAGAGCCCTAAAGAACCCCCAGGGTGACTAAACGCAATAACCAGTCTCCTTCCTTGGGTCTGTTACCCCTCCCAGTAGCTGGACCCTGTGGCTCACGCAGGAGGCCACACACCCTCCACGCTCCGCGAGGCTTGACTGTGCCGCGTGGCCTTAACTCCCTCCCCCAGCCCTTGTGTCTGCCTCGTCCCCCTAGGGCTGGTTTCTCATCTAGGATGCCGGGTCCACTTCTACGATGCCAAACGCCATGTCAGACAGGGAAAGGACAGGGCAGGGGTCAGCGGAATATAGTCCCAGAAAAGTCCTGTCTGTCTCTCTGAAGGCAACTTGACACCTACCCAGTTGACATCTGGGATACGCGATGGGTCCCACTGCCAGAAATCTCCTCCCTCCCGTGTGTTTTGGTCCTGAATGCGCCGGAAATTTTGTGTTTTATTTTGGGAGACCAGGGAAGGAGATGGACTGGTGAAGGAGAGAACTGTACCTTCCAAACGGTGGTGAACGTGCACATTAAAAAATATACACACACACACACACACACACACACCAAAGCCGATCAGATGTAGTCCCTATGATAAATCACTTTTTAATCAGTCATAATTTCGCATTAAGTGCTGAATAAATGCCCTTTGTTTCATACTTAAACTGTCAGCGAGGACCATCAGGAGGGCAGAGCAGTGCCTATCATTAAAGCCGAGAAAAATCAATACTATTTTTAATTAAAGGCCGGCACAGCCGAGCTTTGAGACAAGCAAATCTTCTTGTCAGTTCATCTCCCCTTTAAACTCGATCTCAAGTTCAGTTCAGAAGTTAAGAGGCAGCCAAGTAAATGCAGGGACGGAGGGACGCAGATGGGCTGGGGCAGGGGTGGGGTGGGCGAAGAAGGCAGAGGGAGGCCCTGGGAAAGGGGTGCCTTTCATTCAGCCGGGCCCTAGGGGACACTCTGGGGTCTGATGAAAGGCAGATACTGGCTCAGATACTGTAGACGTGATCTTTCCACCTGCACACGAACAGAGAATCAGAGGGCAGTCGAACAGACTCACGCCACCCGATTTTTGACCAAGTATATTTACGTTCCCCTTCCTGAACCTTCCTCCCTCTGGATTTCACTTACTGGCAAGAAGTCTAGAGGCATTTCAGCAGCACTGCTGTGTATTTACTGGATCCCAAGGGCCTTCTGAAATTTAAAGAGTGTAAAAGCAGCTGGTGTGGCTCAGCGGTTGAGCCTCAACCTATGAACCAGGAGGTCAAGGTTCGATTTTTGGTCGGGGCACAGGCCCGGGTTGCGGGCTCGATCCTCAGTGGGGGCGTGCAGGAGGCAGCCGATCAATGACTCTCTCTCATTGATGTTTCTCTCTCTCTCCCTTCCTCTCTCTGAAATCAACACAAACATATTTTTAAAAAAATAAAATAAAGCATAAAAGCGAAACAAAGCTCAAATGGCTCGATAGCCACGCTGCAGACAGAAGCTTGGTTTTGTGTCTTCTCACGCTGGGCCTCCCTGTTCCATCGGCCATGGCCATGGCCAAGGCAGGACAGGCCACTGACCCGGGGGTGGAGCCGGCCCAGCAGGGGCCAGCGCGAGGGCGGGCAGGTGCCCCGGGCCGACGTCCGGGGTCAACGCAATTTCCTCCCCCCTCCTCCTCGGCTCTCTGCCTTCAGACAACGCGCATCCAGGGGCTTTTTGCCTTTTGATCGCCTCTCCGATCTAATGCAATTGTCCACCGGCAGAAGCGCTGTGAGGTGCGGAATGAAGTAATGGCGCTAATTCCATTTGCGCCCCCGCCCCTCCCTTAGGATCTGCACGTCTTTATTGCATTAGATGCCTAATGAGATTCTCTGTCTGCGCCCCCTCCGGGGACCCCGGGAGCTGTGGGAGCTCTGGGAGGGGTCCATCTCCGGAGGCGTCCCCCCATTTACATCCCATCTTTAATGGATGTGGACCTGCCTGCCCTTGAGTCATAAGGTGACCATACTTCCCTTCCCGGGTCGCCCTGGAGCCACCGCTACAGAGAGGGGTGGGGGCCAGAGAGCGGGGGGACTTCCTTTCAGTCCCAGGGGAGAAACAGGACTAACGGTTAGTCCTTTGCTGGGCTGGACAGGTCACGGGAAGCGCCCCTCGCAAATACGCAGCCTCGCGTCACGTTTCAGAAAGAGATCTGCTCCTGCGAGCAAGAGCTCGCTTTTCTGTTTTGCCACCAGCACCAGGAACAGTGAGCAAAAAAATAATGTTTCAGGGGACTCTCCCAAGGGCACCAGGTTCCCTGAATCACGTCCGTTGCACTGAGGTGGTTCCATGGAGTCCAGGGTGGGTCCTGGCCAAAACCAGGTTGGTCGGGGACCGTCTGAGGGAGTCGTAAACACGAACCCGATCCTGGGGAACCCTACCCCTTGCAGTACAAGGCTCGCTCCCTTCCTCCACTCTCCCCGCCACCCACGATGCGGGAGTTAAATCATCTCATAAACGCCTGTTTATCCAGCCTCTCGTTAGAGTCCCCAGGATTTCCGCAGTGTCACTGACATTGCCCCAGCCCTATTTTTCCGGATACGACACGTCGATTCACCTGTCTCGAGCAACACGCACCAGGAACAGTGTGAGACATAATTTGGCCTTTTTGAGTCCGAAAGCTGCTTTTGAACTGGTCGACGCCCTTGCTGGAAAAAACCCTGACTTAATTAATAGAACGCACTTAGGTACACGGTCTGCCGAATTATTTGAAGACCCAGTGGGGGGGAGGGCAAACGTGGGTAATTCACAATTTGCAAGCTTATTGCTCCGACATGAAAGGGTTTCTGACTGTTTCAGAAAAATGAAAGAGAGAGAGAAACTGGAGTGCAGCCCAAAGACTCGCTGATACAGGCAAACGTTTCTCCGTTGGTTTAGGTTTCTCTTGGATCCCTGAAGTCACGGGATTCGGGGAAGGGAAGGGAAGGCGAGGTGACTGGCACCACGAAGACCTTTCTACTGGGAAGGAAGCAGTTTGTGTCCAATCCAAGGTCTTTAAGAGGAAACTCAGCTCTGGCCTGGCTCTCGGTGGACACGTGCCTGTATCAGAGAAGCACCACGGGGCACCGTTCGCCACCAGAGAGCCCCAGAGCTTAGTAAGGGGCTAAAGTACCTGCCACTTCCAGGGAAGGTGTTCCCTTCAGGTCACCCCGGGTGGGGAGGAGCCCCTCAGCCCCTATTTAAACGTCAGCACTGCCCCTCGGCTGCTGGACACGCAGGCGGCCTATCTGCCCACCTTTTTACAAGGCCAAGGGACACGCTATCCTTCTGAAATCGGTTCGGAAGGTACCCGGGGAGGGCACAGGGAGCCCAGTCCCAGGCAGACTGGGACTTAGGAACCCAGTTCCTGAAAGGCAGGTGCCTGTCATTAGGCTGCGGGTCAGGCCTCTCCCTTGACTGATCAGCGTGAAATAGAGGCAGGTGCAGCCCCAGTCAGGGGGGTGGGGGGGCTCATCTCACCTCTGTAGGTTTTGGGGAACCTGTTTGAGGCATCGCGCATGGATTTATCATCTCGAGATTTATCACCTATATTTCAGGAGCTTTGAATTTTGAAATGAGACAAAGCAGAACAAAAACGTAACGTAAAACAGGGACCCACCGTG